GTGAAGGGCTGAGGAGACCAGGCGGGCCGACAAGAGTCGGCGGGAAGTAGGGCTGCTGATGGCCGGCGGTGTGAGACCGGGGCGACTGGCGAGGCGCGTGATTGGTGGGCGATGAGCTGGAGTAGCCGCCGACTGAGTGGGACTCGGCCAGCCCGTTGGACGAATAGGCCGAGTCGAGGAGAGGATGCTGCGAGGCGACCTTGGCCCCAGCACCCTCGTAGAAGCCGGTCAGCCCGGCGGCCGATGCCACCGAAGAGGGGAGCATTTTGTTGCCAGGGTCTGGCGTCGCGCGGCAATCGGACTGGCACCGGTCGTCTCAGGAGGCGGAAGGAAATGCGGCCACAGAGCGCCCTGCGCTAACGAGGACGGCGTTGCCGGTGGAGCTGTGCAACGGACTTGTGGTTGGGCGACATCGGCCTGTCCGATGGGAGAAAAAGGTGGGGAGGTCGGACGAGATCAGTCGAGCTGGTGCAGGATGGGAATGGGGATGAGGTGTGAGGATGAGAAGGGAACAGTGATTAGAGCGAGGCAGAAGAGAGAAAATGGACCAACCCTGGGGGTATAATTGGCGAGGACGTTTGTTATTAAATTAAGGAGTTCGCAGGCGCTTGTTGGTAGAATAGACGAAAAAACGAGTGGGGAGCAAGCATTTGTGGGCCAAAAAATGCAGTCAATGGGACAATGAGGAAGACGAGTTTGTGTGCGCTAGCGACTCGGATCACCGGGCCACAGCCAGTTGTGCTGATTAGGAAAGAAGAGAAAAAACGCCCTGGAGGCATGTAAGGAGCCGAGTCGAACAAGGAGCATGTGACATGTGGAAATATGCATCGTGGGAGACGCTAAGAGTGCGTGGAGGTCGTGCTGGGCTGACGGAAGACAAGCGACCAGAGGAAGTATGATTGAAAAGTGGGAGATTCGAGTAGACCGTGAGCCGGTAGAGTCCAATGGAAAATAATTCAACCAATGCAAACTATTGTGCACAATCTTGCAATCGTCGACGCAAAAGAGGTCTCCTCGTGAATGTGGCCTTGAGGAGGAAATGTGGCAGTGGCAAGCTGGGATCACGACGACGCTGAAGCATGGATACAGCCAAACCAATGGTGTTGCTAGTGGCCGAGAGGAAGCCCGATGGAGGATGGATAGTGGATGAGCATAATTCGGTGAATTGTCGAGCTTTCTGAGGTGGTCGGACGAGAAATAGAGCAAAAGTGCATTATCCAAAGCTCGCAGCAAGGCCTGAGAACCGACATGTTCATATGGCGGTTGGTTGTAGTTTATGCATAATTCAGGCATACCATAAAAACGAGCATCCCTTTGCAGCTTTGACCTGCACCCAAAGCATTCATTCGGCCTCCCGAACAGCAGTCCAGGCAACATCCAAAGCTTGTGCTTAACGCGCACAAGCACCCTCCATACAGACATGTATGCACATGTGCACACATGTGCACTCGACACAGCCTCGGATGCACGCATACACGCATACACATGTTCACGGTAGTATAAACAAACACACGACGACAAGCACGTACGAGCACACGATGAATTTGCAAGCACAAACACACACCAACACACGCACTGGTAGACCGACATGAGGATAGGCAGAATGTACATGTATGGCTTACAAGGAGGCGCTTCCAAGTGGATCTCGGTGCGGATCTGGGGCAATGGCGAGTGCAGCTGAAGCCAATGTCGGCTGTTCCACTCAAACAGGATTCTCACGGGGTCCCCGACCGGCCTAGACCAGACAATCAGGGGGTGTGTGGGCCTCCTCATAGTCGCTTTACGCTCTACCAACAAGGCTGTATGAAAGGCAAAATCAGCCTAAAATCAAGGTCAGATAAACTCGTCGGAGCCTTGGCAACGACGGATTAGGTCAGTGTGCGCTAAGCTTGATAACTGAAAGGCCTAGACGACAATCAGCCCTTTGAGTTGCCTAACATGGGACAGCTAAGGTCTAATCCTCGGGTGTGGCAACAATTTCAAATCCGGTTTAAGTAGGCCTCTAACATACTATTACATCTTGAATAAAGATGTATTCACTCTAGGTCGTATAATGTGATGGAGGCATGGTTTAATTCTACTATAATCAGCTGAGTAGGCCTTGCCTCCCAAAAAGTAGCGCCCGCAACAGTCTGTGATGATCCAAGAACATTGTCCCTATGACGACCAATCTGAGCAAGTTGTGCCGAGAAAAAAAGGACACAATATATTTAGAGTCTGAAGAGTCTTTAAAAGACTTAAATGTAAATGTAGGTAGTGAGCAAAAATAACAGAACGAACATGAAAGAAAATTAACCAAACCACTCTATG